TGTTTTAGTTCCCGCTGCCTTACGGCCCCACAGTAACACACTGAAACTTATAACTGTGAACCAAAATGTACTCCTTCTCCATTGAGTTGCTCTGTGTCTGGGTATTTTACCACCACAACAGAAATGAAACCAAAACAGACATAGAAACATTAAGAGGGAAAACAAAAAAGGGGGAACTCCAAATCTGTGTGTGACCCATGCATGACCCGGCAAAAATGCCGGATGCACCCTGAGCTGTGCAGACAGACCCACAGGAAGAATACAAAGTTTACCGAGAGCTGAGCTGAGATGGCCTCGCCTACACAAGGTGCAACAGAACCTGCAGTCTGAACATGCCTGGACTTTTTGCATGAAAAATTAAAATCACTGACATTCTCCAGGAGATTTAACAGGACCCAAAGTATAATAGTATTCAATATTACAAAAAAATTATAAATCTGCCTTGGAATATCTGTGATACAGAAATTATTTGAAAGACTAGACCATACCCAGGTTAGATGTGACAATGGTTGACATTCTAGCAATGAAAGGGGAGATGTTTTTACTAAAAACATAGATACTACTTAAAGTGATTACTTTAGAGTGTAAAAGTAAAACATTTGAAATTTAAGTCACTCTATTTGGACTAGAGAGATGTCTCAATGCTTAAACCACTGGCTGATTTTCCAGAGGACCTACGTTTGATTGTCAGCATCTATATGGCATCCCATGACAGTCTTTAACTCCAGTTCCAGGGGATGTAATATCCTTACTGACCTCTACAGGCACCCTGTATGCAAGTGGTGCACAGCCATTAGGAAGGTAAGACACCCACATATATATATATGTGGTATTTGGTGTTTTATAACCTTTATTTTCATTTTATATATATATATATATATATATATATATATATAAAATGAAATATATATATATATATATATATAATGAATATATATATATATAAAATATATATATAAAATGAAAATAAAGGTTATAAAACAACAGCAAGAAAAATACAGACATTCTATTGACTCAATAGACCACAATATCATATATCAGAGCAATGAGTCAGTGATCACAAAAATAGAAAATAGGACTTCTCAAATCTTTACAACAAAGAAAAATATTAGAAAAAAAAAAAACTCAGTATAGAGACTTGTCAGGCAATGTCAAACAGGAATAACCTCCTGGTGTTGAATCCCAAAAGGAAGAAAAAAGATTACAAAGCATAAAAATGATGGAAGATATAACTGTAGAAAATACAATTTGATAAAACATAAATACACATCACTAAGAATAAAAGTGAATTCCAAACTATAGATTAAAAGAACAGGTGACATTAAAATCAAATTTGATGAAAACTAATGATAAAGAAAAAATCTGAAAGTAGAAAAAAATTACTAAGGGAAGCCAGTTAAAAGGTTGATGATTTTTTACTAGAAATCAAGTTCCTCAGAAAACACTAGGAAGCATTCACATAGTGTTGAGGTACCTGCCAACCTAAAACTCTATCTTCAGTCAAAACATCATCAGCAAATGGTGGGACCTAGAAACGATAATCCTGAGTGAGGTATCCCAAAAGCAGAAAGACACAAATGGTATATACTCACTCATATAGAACTAAAGAAGATAAACAAGAAAGAGGACCCAGGGTACGATGATCAATCCTCACTTAGACAAATGGGATGGACATTGGATGTAGGAGAAAACAAGAAACAGGACAGGAGCCTACCACTGAGGGCCTCTGAAAGACTCTACCTAGCAGTGTATCAAAGCAGATACTAAGACTCATAACCAAACCTTCGGCAGAGTGCAGGGAATCATAAAAGGGGGGGGGTAGATAATATGACCCGGAGAGGACAGGAGCTCCACAAGGACCAAATGTATTTGGGCACAGGGGTCTTTTCTGAGACTGTTTCTCCAACCAAGGACCATGTATGAATGTAACCTAAACCCTCTGCTCAGATGTAGCCCTAGGTAGCTCAGTATCCAAGTCGGTACCCTAATAAGGGGAATAGGGACTTTTTCTGACATGAACTCAATGGAATGTTCTTTGATCTCCTTCCCTGCCCTCCCCCCGATGGAGGAGCTACCCTGCTAGGCCACAGAGGAGGACTTTGCAGCCAGTCCTGAAGATACTTGATAAACCAGTATCAGATGAAAGGGGAGGAGGTTCTCCCCTATCAGTGGACTTGGAAGGGGGCAGAGAGGAGATGAGGGAGGGAGGGTCAGATTGGGAGGGAAAGAGGGAGCAGGATACAGCAGGGATACAAAGTTAACAAACTGTAACTAACATTAAAAAAATAAAAATTAAAACAAAAAACATCACCAGCGACAGTAGCAAGTAAAACCACTCTCAGATGAAGGGAAACAGAGAACCGGAACCACTGCTTACCTACCTCTTTTCTTAACACAATAAAAAATACTGAAATAATGTCTTGCACATCATTACATAGTAATGGGATAAAATTAAATATTAGCAGCAAAAGAAACTTAAAAATATACACAAAATGTTCAAGACAAAGTATTATACTCTGAATGATCAATGGGCTGTTAAAGGAATGAGAAAATAAACTCAAAACTTGTAGAATTTTGAAATGAAAATAAATACACAACTCACTGGAACATTAAGGATAAGTTAAAAAAAAAATCAAAAGTATTTCAAATACGTAAGAGAATGGAGCTCCTCAATGTTCTAGCAAAACAAGAACAAGCCAAACCCAAAATTAATACCTGGGGAGAAATAATACAAATCAAGACAGGACATAATAAAATAGAAAACAATGCAAAGGATCCATGAAACTTGAGGGCTGGTTCTTTGAAAAACAAACCATTAGTCAAAATAAGCAAAAGAAAAAGAGACCCAAAGTAAAACTTTAAGTTCAGAGAGAGTGGACATTACAACAGATACCAATGATATCAAAAGAACATTAAGCAGGTACTTCAACGTGACATTCCAAAAATCTAGAAAGTCTACGAGAAATAGATCTCTATAGACATGGCTAACCAAACCCAAACCCAGATAATACAAATAACCAACACAAGTATATATCCAGAAATGTACAAATCTGAGCAGAGTAGTACATGCCCACGATCCTAACACCAAGGAGGTAAAGACAAGGGGATTGATTCCTGGAGATTTCTGGCCAGCCAGTCTTGTAGAACTGGGAAGCCCAGGTCCAATGCAAGGTCCTGCCTCAAACTATAAGGAACAGAGGAGGATGCCCAGCATTTGTGTCTAGCTCCAGACACCATGCTTTATATGTGGAAAACCAATTAGATCTAAAGGTGTGTGTGTGTGTGTGTGTGTGTGTGTGTGTGTGTGTGTGTGTGTTCATGTGTATTCATGTATTCATGTCGAGGGCAGAGGACAACTTGTAGGAATAATTCTCTCCTTCTAACCTCTAGGCCCTAAGGCTCAAACTCAGATTGCCCAGCGTGGCAGCAAGTGCCTTGACCTGCTGAGTCACCTCACCAGCCCCAGGAAATATATTTGTTAAACTGCTGTGGCTCACACCTCCTGCTGCCTACAGTCTGAAATCATTGCTCATGCAACGGTTTGTGTTTATGAATGCCACCGCTTAGGAGACAGAGGCAGGAGGGTCTGGACTTCCAGCCTACCCAGATCTCCGTAGAGAAACCCTGCTTGCAAAACCTAAAGGTTGGAGATGTAGCTTAGTGAGAGAATGCTTGCTTCGTTTGCAAAAGATCTCAGGTTGGCTCTCGAAACTTGAAAACCAAATAAACAAAAGAAGCTGACAGAGAGAGCCTGGTCTCTGATAGCACAGGATACCACGTCTGCAATTCTGTCCTCGTATCATTCTGTGAATTTCATTGCCCTCTCCCCTCTTCCCTGGACACACTTAACTTGGAAGAGAACATCTTCCTGGAGCCGGTGGACGCCCGGTAAGAGGCGTGACTCTAGTCGTGTATTTCAGAGACAGTGATACTGCATGGTTGTGCTTCATCACTCAGTGTGGCAACACACGTTTCTGGATCAGATACTAACGGTTAAAAATCAATGCACGAGAACAAAGTCTCTGTCCCACCAAAGCAAATGCATGTTTAAGATCAAGTTGCACTGGGAAGGAAAGTAAGCAGGGACCATTACAGACACAGTGAGCAAAAAACCCAAGGGTATTTCGGGATACTAAGCAGGGCTGGATCCATGGCCCCTTCCACTTTCTTTGAGAGCTCATAAAGAGTTTTTGACCACCCTCAAGCCTTATTAGCATCAGTCTTCATTAAGGGTGTGTCTCCCTGTAGGTCAGCCATGCTCGAGGGATGACCGATGTATGTATGAGCACACGAGCAGCACAGATTAGACTCTGAGTAACAATAGCAAATAAAATGTTAATTTAAATCAAAAATTTGAAAAGAGGACATGAAACTAACATGTAGGCCTGGGTGTGGATTTGGAAGGAGTTAGGGGGAGAATGGCGTAGAAGATGAGTAAAATCACTGCATGCATGTATGGACTTCTTCAAGAATTATTTAAAAATATTGTTCAAATACAATAAAAAGTTCAGTATTGATAATCTAAACTCAAAAGAGAGCAGTAGAAATTCTCTAAAACCCTTGGGAAAAAAATACATATGGGGAAAGAAAAAGCTTTCAGTTTCAATTTTCAATTATAGCCCTTGATAACAGCTTACATACTTAGAATTTTAACAAAAGGCTGTAAAAGATTACAAAATGATGGCCAACTGATCTAACTATCCTAGACTGCAAAGGAACTCCCCTTTTGGGTGGGACACTTGTGTGTTAAAGCATATCTCTTTCTTTCCAGACATAATATTTGCACACTTTGCAATCGCACAACTACATGACGAGCAACTATCAAATGTAGTAGCATTTTTCCAGTCCATCCCGAGTCCTGTTTACACCAGCACCGGAAAGTGGCAGTCGTTGTTTTAAAACCACGACCTTATGTAGAGTCAGAGACTAAGCCTGGAGCAGACCTTCCCAGGGCAAAGGCATTTGGAACCGCAGCATTCTTCCTAGACTTCAGCGCTCACCTAGTGCAGGAATTCGGACACCCAGAGAGGTGAGGCTCAGAATCCTGGAAGTGAGCGGATTCTGAGAGCTGCTTTAAAGTTCCAGGGCGGCCGGCCTGAGGCCAGACTGCCGAGCTCCCTTCTCCGGGAAACCCTTCGCTGGGCGTGCTGCCGAAGTCATCTCTAACACCGGGCCTGCTGCAGCCACAAGTTCAAGTGTGAGTCCTAACTCAAAAGGTTTGTGCTCTAGCCTCTCTGAGCTTGGAAGCCCGCCCCACTGTAACCATAGCAACAGCTGACACCGGAGCGCCCGCGAGCCGGGTTCCGCCCCCTCCCTGACAGATATTGTTTCCCCATCCTCTGTCCACATGGGCGCACTGCATCACCATTGGTCCGTGGCCCAGGACCGTGCCTTGCCCCCACCAATAACCGGCCTGTGCACGTGCACTCTGGTGTCTCCTGATTGGTGAAGCCCTCCTGATCACGCACCACCGTCCTGCTCAGCCCCGTGTGGGGCTGCCAATGAAATGACTGAGTGCCCACGCACAGCCAGTGAGAAATAAGCATGTTGCCCAGCTGGCCTATGGGAGCGCGCAGTAGGCGGGTCGTGTCGGCCCCTTCCCAGTCCCAGCGGGGTGTGTTAAAGAGACAGGGCCCCGGTGCGGGTGTTTCACCCGGCTGGGCGCTGCGGCCGCGGTGGCCCTGGGTGACAGCAGCGCCGCGGAGCTGGCTACCCGGTCCCGGGGCCACTGCCGATCTCGGTGGCGGAGCAGCATCGCCCGGCGGGATGGGAGGCGAGGCGACGGCCGATGGTCCCCGGGGCCGTGTCAAGAGTCTGGGGCTGGTGTTCGAAGATGAGAGCAAGGGCTGCTACTCCAGTGGCGAGACGGTGGCCGGGCACGTGCTGCTCGAGGCGGCCGAGCCCGTGGCCCTGCGCGGGCTGCGTCTGGAGGCCCAGGGCCGTGCCACCTCTGCCTGGGGCCAGAGCGCTGGGGCCAGGGTCTGCACCGGTGGCGCCGCCCCCGCCGCCTCCTCGGTGGTGGAGTACTTGAACCTGCGCTTGAGTCTGCTCCAGGCCCCTGCTGGTGAGCCTGGGAGATTCCCAGGGAGGACAAGGGAGGGGGCGCGCCTCCAGGGGTGGGGGCGGGTGGCACTGAGGGAAGCTTCTGGAAGAGGACTCATCGGTACTGTCACGGGTGCAGGGCGGGAGGCCAAGCCTGTGGCCCTACCTGGCTTCTTGGAGAGGCCAGACCCCTTGTCTGGGGCTGTGCCTTTGCACCTAGCCTCCTGGGATCTTCTGGCAACCTGGGAGAGAAGTGAGCCGTTGCCATGGGAACCCGCGATTAGACTGTCTGGGTTCTAGGTCCTTCCTGACCTGGAGGCGTAGAAGGTGGAACGACCACCCGTGGGGTTGGTTCCATTCTGTGGTCTCCAGGGTTTGATGGCCCTCTACTCCTTCCTATCCTGACCCTAGACGACTCTGTCCGCGACGATTTGCAGAAAGGAGAGGGAAGTGGTACTTGGGTAGTTAAAGAGGAATGTTCCCTGTCTGGGGAGCCAGCATCTTACTAAGTCATCTCTTCCTGTACCTCCTCTTCCTCTTGCCTTTCAGAAAGGCCTTTGGAGACAAGGACGATTTGGGCATTAATGAGTTACCCCTTCCTGTTCACTCTGACTTGCCCAAAAGTGCCTGTGCATATGTATGTTGGGTTAAGTGCTAGGTACATAGAACTGATTGTGTTTCGTCATGAAGATGCTAGTAACAAGTGAGTCAGTCTTCTCTCAGTGGAAACTACTGTAAACTTTTACCTGTCTGCCTCACCAACTTGTACCTGTCAAATGCCTTAAGCTTACTACTTACTGTATCTTATCCTCCTGTGGAGAAGTACAATGTCCACAGCTATATCCTCAAGTATGTACCCAGCAGAAGCTGTCTTTTGGATAAAGGGGTGTGGCAGGTGACAGCTCCTACCACCAGGGTGTCCTTTCCTCCCTGTGGAGTCTTTTTCTCTCAGTGATTATAGCCAACAGGGAGTTAAAGATGGCTGGCTGGAGGGAAGGCCATGGAAGAGAGATGTAAACAGCTTTTATGTCAAAGAGTCAGACTCTGAGACCATACCCACCAAGAAACTAGAAGCAAAATTAGAAGCATTGAACCTGGGATGAGAAATCAGGATCGCTTTGGTAAAGTCTGGATAGGCTTTTTTTTTTGTTTTTGTTTTTGTTTTTGTTTTTTTATTCACAATAAGATGTTGCCTTGTTCTAATGAGACAGAATTTCTACGTCTAGGCAGCTTCCATTTTCTTAGAATGTGTTATCAGTAGTTACAGTTTACTTAAAGCCAGCTTTTAGATAAGGGGGTAGGGAACATCGCTGTACCAACAACTTGGAAGAACTTAGCAACTTGACACAGATTTTCAGGGTCGTTTACTCCATAAACTAGCTACCATTCAGTGACCTGAGGAGGGTGTTTGTTTGTTTGTTTGTTTGTTTTTTACTGTTGACTCCTAGGAAATGTAATGCTGGGATCTTACCAGAAAACTCTTTAAAATTACTATTCTTATTGAAGCAGTTCAGTGTGGCTGAGCTGCTTCGTGTCTTTGTGAAAAGACTGGGATAGAAAGACCCAGAGACCAAAGCAGAGAGTTGGCTTCAAGACACCCACCAGAGTGACCTTACAAGGACCTTATACCCATTCCACTCCTTCCCACCCCATCTCTAGATCCCAGGGCTCATGACAAACTTTCATTAAGTGCTCTGGATAGAAGTCCTTTAGTGAATGAAGCAGCTTCCTGTGGCATTTGTAGTCCTCAGTGGGCAAAGTGGAACTTATGAGCCACAAAGCAGAAGCAGAAATGGCCACGTTGTACCTCTGTGAATATTTTTAATTAAACCTAGAACTTGAAAAGAGAAAGAAACATTTTTCCAGATATTATAGCGTTTATCCATTTCCTCAAGTGCCTGAGCCCCTTGGAAAGTTGAGGTGCAGAAATATCCCCTGACTCCAGTCCTACAGCTCTGCCGGGACCCTCCTGAGGCTTGTGGGGTCATTTCTGCATAGTGGGAGTCTCTGGGACACATGCTGTATCATACTACTTAATCTGACCCCATGTCCTCCTGACTAGTTACTGTTCACCTTGCCTTCAGGTCCTCTGCCTGGGATGTCTTTCTATGCAAAGTGGACCCATGTTCCTTGTTTCCCCTTAATGTAGTGGGTATTGAAAAGTAGAGCAGTGGATAGAAACAAATGCTGAGACTCACAGCCAAACACTTGGCAGCATGCAGGAAACCTGTAAAGAGTAGGGGTAATGATAGAGGGACCTGGAGGGGACAGGAACTCTACAAAGAGACCAACAGAGCCAATTAACCTGGGCCCAGCGAGGGTGGGCTTGTGGAGACTGAAGCACCAATCAAGGACCATGCATGGACTGGATCTAGGCCCCCTGTACATATGCACCTGATGGGCAGCTTGGTCTTCATGTGGGTTCCCTAGTAAGGAGAACAGGGGCTGTCTCTGTCAAGGACTCTGTTGCCTGATTTTCGATCCCTTCCCCTGCAGGGCTGCCTTGCCAGGCCACTGAGATAGAGGGTGCACTCAGTGACTTGATGTACTGGAGTGGGTTGCTGGGGGGGGAGCTCCCCTTTTTAGAGGGGTAGAGGAGAGGGAATAGGGGGAAGAGGAAAGAAGGGTGGGAGGAAAGGAGGGACAGGCCTATGATTGGGAATAAATAAATTAAAAAAATAAAAGAAAAGAGAGAGAGAGATTTAGGAGACCACCGTTGGGCCAATAATGCATTCTTATTTTCTGAAACTACAGCATTGAGATACTGTGATGTTGGTAATTAAATAAACCAAAGAAACCCACCTTCTTAGTGGTTCTGATCACATAAAGTAGAAACATAAATTCAGGTAACAAGACAAAAGCCAGACCAAGTTGTCTGCCATCTTTTCTCACCTTGCTTCCTCCACCGAAGTGGAGGAAAGTTGGCCATGCACCACAGAGAGCCACTGAGGAGAGCGGAAGCTGCAGGGTCCACTTTGGATCCACGTTAAACAGACAGACGGTGGGCGTTTTTCATGGGTGCCGGTGGTGCCTCTGGTCTTAACACCATCCATCTGTGTACTTTGACCTTTGCTCAGTAAGCAGCCTCTACATGAAGGTGAATGATGCTAACAAGAAAGGGGAAGGAACCATGCCATGCCTTGAAAATTCTACTCTTACCTCCGAGAAACCCCGTCAATCTCAGTAGAGCTAAAGGTGAAGAGCTGCCTCTTGCTGCTTTGGCTGTCTTATTTATAACTATTACTAATACCGTTCCCAAGCTTTCTATCTCTGTCCAAAGAACGCGTAATATGATTATTGTAGTGTAGCCAATGAAATGTAACTCATCAATTAGTTTTAGGGACAATTTAATGTCCACATCTCATGTTAGTATAGACAGGGTAACATCCATGTGTGTGCATGTGTCTGTACATAAGAATACACACTGCATGTGTTTATGCACTGTACATGTGTATTGGAACTCTTGGCCCTAGATAACACTTGATGTTAAATGCATAACTGATCATCTTGTGGATAGAATGGGTGTGTGTGTGTGTGTGTGTTTCTTGGTAAAAGACAAATTTAAATTTAATTCTCCCAATCTGTTTAATGAACTTGTGGAGTGTACTGCCAGAAAAACCACCTTTAAAAAAATATGGCTTAGATTGAAAAAAAGGGAAAAAAAATAACCCTCTTGATTTAATGTTGACCTTAGTTAAGATACGATATGATCTCTTTCAGGTGATGGCATCACTTTATTACAACCTGGAAAGCACGAGTTTCCCTTTCGCTTTCAACTTCCATCTGAGTGAGTGCCGCTCTAAGTTTTCCATGTCCTGTCCCTGCCTGTGTCCATTGTGTAAGCACCCTGGTGTTCCCCAATGCTGAAGTGTGTGCTAATCCTGTGTAACCCTCCCTATACTTCTTTTTTTTTTTTTTCAACCATAACCCACATGTTAATGCATGCTTTTCCTGGCTTGGTGTAGCTGAAAATAAGCTCATAAATCGGTATCTTTGGTTTATTTCAGACCTTTGGCAACATCGTTTACTGGGAAGTATGGGAGTATTCAGTACTGTGTGAGGGCTGTTTTGGAACGACCCCAAGTACCAGATCAGAGTGTAAGAAGAGAGCTCCAGGTTGTCAGTCACGTGGATGTCAACACACCACCCTTACTGGTGAGCTCTCCCTTGCCCTGTCCCTCCCTCTCAATAGTGATGACTGTATTTTCTCAGGGTAGTGATGATCTGCACTGTCACCGTCTGCTGGCTCGGAGAACTGGATGTAACCCATAGGCGTTCACTATAAAGATATGATTCTAGGTTGGGCAAATTACAAATTGTGTGTGTTAATACTATTGATTATGCCCCTGCTGTTCAGAGCTGCTTTTGCCAAAAAGTTACACAGGCTTGAAATGCATTAATGAGCCTTAATAACAATAATGCACAGCAGACGTGGGTTACTGCTCACCAGCATGGCCGCATTCGCAGGACTGTGGTATTCTAAACTCCAATAATAGCAGGTTGAGGAGCAGTAATTACGAAAGAGTACTAATCACACTCAGCCTGTTATTGAAGCCCAGGCCATTATGCTATGTATCCTTCCATTCTGCATGTCATTTTCTAACATTAAGTAAGTGTGTGCAGCTGCCACTGCGGTCCTTTCCCTCACCGTTTCCTTATGACAGATTTGGCCACATTAAGGCATTGAACTTCTAATAATCATCAGGAATACTGTAGGCTGTAAGTAGGATCAGGCTATAAGGAACAACAGAATAGGCAAGATGGGAACTAATGAGCTACATTCTTTTATCTGCACCCATATTATCAAAATAATATAAAATTATACCTTCTACTTTCATGAAAGCTGCTAGAGACCAAATGCATCTTCATTTAAATATGAATGAATGGTGTTATTTTTTACTTCATAGATAATACTGAGATAATTTAAACTTCCCATTGTGACACTGATGTGGCAAAGATGTGTTTTTAGTAATAGATGTTTCTTTTTCTAACTAAAAAATTTAAAGACAAGGGAAAAGCCAACAGCTAAAAGTTTTTAGTTCTTATTTTCACAAGAAGTAGAGTAAATGTTCCCTTTAAGATAACAGATAAGGCCCTGCTTGCATGATTAGCCAGTACCCTGCTCCCTGGCACAGGCACACTTAAATAGCTCCTTAAATCCCGTTTGGAAAACTGGTGACATTAGTAGCTTATATTTTTAAACTTATGTAGAATTTTTAAACTTTTCCTAAAATTGCCAGGGTTTTCATGGGAAATCACTTCTTGAGGTGTTTTTGTTTTGTTTTGTTTTTGTCAAAAACAGACACTTGACCTTTTTACTGTAATTTCTAAAATAAGTGAAAAATAAAAGATGACCAGCCATGGTATTTTACAGACAGCTTTTGCTTTTGCAAACAGATCATTTAAGCTCCACCCGAGTGTTCTTCTGTCTTTGAAGACTAGAGTCTGTAATAGGGAGGATCTGCTGACATCGGGCGTGTGGCTGCACACTAGTCCAAGAACCCTTCAGATTCCTGTCTGACATGAACTCTGTAGAAAACAAAACGATGATTTTCTTATCCCATGAAGCATCTGCCACGCTGTGTGACATTCTGATTATCGGTTTCTATATCGTTCCTCCTTTCTTCCGATCTTTACATTGTCTTAAAACCCAATGCTTTCATGCTAATAAGAAGGCTCGGGGGTAAGAGTGCTTACTGTGAAAGTAAGAAAACCTGAGTTCAAATCCCCAGCTCCCGTGCAGAAGCTGGGGGTGGGGTCATACATGCCGATAGCCCCAGAATTTGGGCATGAAGACGGTGGATCCCAGGGGGTCACGGACAGGCTACCAGCCCGCATTAACTGAGAGACCTTGCAAACAAGGAAAGAAAATGGGGGGGAGACTCTGAGCGTTTTCCTCTGCCTCCTGCATGCCCTGGCCTGGATGTGAACACCTGCACGCACCCTTGTACCGATGCCTCACCACACCCACCACACACACAGTGACAGTTCTGTAACATTTACAGTAGGAATAGGACCCTGGCTCACTTTTCTAAAGGATGTTGTGTCATTTCCTAGAAACACAATAACTTCAGGATAAAGTAGGGTGATGTCATTAGTTGGAAGCTGAAACTTCACACTAGGTTCCCTAAGAGGGAAATGGTTTCATACATACATGTATTTCATACATGAGAATGTGAAACATAGATATTTCTTTATAAAAATTACTTAAGAGAATATAAGTTCTCGTCAGTGGTTTAACTAAAGTCCTTTTGTTTACAACTTTCAAGACTCCTATGCTGAAAACGCAAGAAAAAATGGTTGGCTGTTGGATTTTCACTTCTGGCCCCGTGTCACTGAGTGTCAAAATTGAAAGAAAGGGCTACTGTAATGGTAAGTAACACATGTGAAAAAGTCCAGATGGAAAGCTCATTGATTTCACTAGATAATTTAAGCAATTTAAAACAGTAAGTTTTGTAATCTTTGAAGTACACTGTACTTTAAAATATAAGTAATTAACATTTACATATTTTAAGGGTATGTATAATAGGCCCTAACAAAACTCCTGTCTTTTTCTGACTGTAAGCTTGTTGCTTTCTAAGAGAAGGAAACTCAGGAGAGTGGGGAAAGGCTGGAACTTATCTTAACGTTACAAAAGAAAGTACAGAGCTCTGGGAGAGCAAGACTATAGCTGTGTAGTATTGTGACTGGCTTGCCTGCCTCATCCTGAGAAGCAAGCACTTTGCTCACTGATGGGCAGGTTTTCATTCCATGGACCCTCGCTGCTTCCTCGTAAGCTCTGTGCTTAGACTCCTACTGCATCATTTCTCTGTATGCCTTGTCTTCATTTATACATACTGCTTATTTATATACCTTGAGGTAACACTGTTATTGTCTTTTTACATTGGAAAAGTGAATAGTGCAATTGGTATAAAATGTCACCTTCTGCACTGAACGTCTATTCCTCTCCCTAAGACTTCCCATGGAAGCTTCCAGCCAGGGCTTCAGTAGTGTTGGGCTGTTGCAGTCTTCACTGATGCTTTGATTTTATGAAGCATCCCCGAATCCATCTCATTTCTCTTCTTTCTTTAGGAGAAGCTATTCCCATATATGCAGAAATAGAGAATTGTTCATCTCGTCTGATTGTTCCTAAGGCAGCCATATTCCAAACCCAGACATATTTGGCTAGTGGAAAGACAAAGACAGTCCGGCACAGGGTTGCCAATGTCCGAGGAAACCACATTGGTTCTGGGAGTACGGACACATGGAATGGGAAGATGCTGAAGATTCCACCTGTCACTCCATCCATTCTGGATTGCTGCATTATCAGAGTGGACTACTCCTTAGCTGTACGCAGAGCTTCTTGAATAATTAAAATGCATAAAACCGAGAGCAGAAAGCCACATGATTGCAAATAATATCTCCAGTTATTCCATCAATACTCTGGAAAATGTTAGCATTGCTACCATTTATTGGTATATGAAGATTGGCCTTACTGTTAAAAATCTCTATCTACCTGGAGGGTTTAATGCAGTAACCTTAAAAGGATTTAGGTAATGTGAGGAGCGTTTGTTACACTGAAACCTAGATTTTACTTTCCAGGCTTGTTACAAGTCATGCCAACTTACAGTGAAACAGGTGAAGGCCACATTTCCCTGTCACAAGGTTGTCCTGTAGATGGTGAAGTCTTCATTTTGTTTGTTCAGGACACATTACATTTGTCCTCATGGTGGCTTGGTGGGAGACAAAAGCACTTGTTCTATGAAAAGGAAGATGAATTGGCTTAGTTCCCATGAGGTTTGCCCTAAGTCTGTGCCTTTCTCTCCCTCACACATGCTTTTTCCTCTTATACGTATTAGGTATACATTCACATTCCTGGTGCTAAAAAATTGATGCTGGAGCTGCCCTTGGTTATTGGTACGATTCCGTACAGTGGCTTTGGCCGCAGAAACAGCAGTGTTGCAAGCCAGTTCAGTATGGACATGAGCTGGTTGGCGCTGGCACTGCCAGAGCAGCCGGAAGGTAAAACATCCAAGTCTTTCTCTGTGAAGTTTTAAATGAGACTAGCTGATAACGGAGCATGACAGAAATGGGTTCACGTGTCAGCTGTCCCCACCGCATTGGTGTTCTTCGGGCTGTGCCCAAATGCCTGAAAAGCAGGCACTAAAAGGAAGAAGGGTTTACTTACAGTTTCAAGGTACAGACTAGTAAGGCGGTGCGCACAGTTTTAGCTGGGGCTGCAGGAGTGTGAGGCAGCTGCTCACATTGCAGCCATGGTCTGGAAGCAGAGAGGTCAGTGCTGGTGCCCAGGGTGCCCCGGCCCTCTTCGCTGAGTCTGGAACCCTGTCACATCCAAGTGGTTCTTCTGCAGTTCAGTCTCGGAAGCGCTGTCATAGACATGGCCGGTGTCTTAGGTAATTCTAAATCCAGTCAGGTTGACAGTGAGGACAAACCATCACAACTACCCTGCAGTCTTATACTGCGAAAACTTATGTAACATTCCTGGAAAAGGAACCTTGAATGTTTACACAAAGCTAATGACAAACCCAGGAGTAAAATGGACATGTCCTAAGGCTAACTTATCATATCATAGCAATGAGAAATGCTTAAAATAAAAGTATAGACTGTTATATATTTTCTATAGCTACATCTCATAGGTATTTGTGTGCTTTGATTGTAATATGTAGATCACAAAAAAAACGGAATCTAATTGAAAGTAGGATAATCAGTATTAGTAGCTGTGTATCAAGGGAACCACATCTTGTCATGGCCACAGTGTCTTCAGTTTGGCTCAATCTCTTGTTTTTGTCAGAGGTGAGAAAACACAAATTGATTGTTGCATGGATTTCTTAGCTCAAACTCCATTTCTGTTTCAGCACCACCAAATTATGCAGATGTGGTATCAGAAGAAGAATTCTCCCGACACATTCCTCCGTACCCTCAGCCCCCAGACTGTGAGGGAGAGACCTGCTACTCTATGTTCGCCTGCATACAAGAATTCCGGTTCCAGCCTCCACCTCTTTACTCAGAGGTAAAGAAAATTAGATTCGTCATGCTGTCTGCGGACAATCACTTGCTCCATTCATTAATGTGCTGTCGCTGACTCATAATTGGTAGGGTATATGCATAAACTTGTTCTTACAGTGTTGATAGATTATCACAACCAACCACTTAGCACATCTTCTGGTGTGTTGCTTGTGATCTCTGGCATGCATGTGCAGTATTGTGGATTGCCTTGAAGATGTTTTATTTAGCCATGGAAGATAACTCAGCAGCCAGAGGAAGACTTAATGACAGGTTTTGAGCAACCCAGCCTTACAGCTATCATGTAATTAGAAGTAGGTAGGAGAACGACAGTGCTGTAGCCATCACCTCGCTCTTTTGTCTCTGCAGGTTGATCCACATCCTGGGGATGCCCAAGAGTCCCAGCCTGTTTCCTTCATTCTCTGAACAGACTCCAGAATTCACTGTGTTGTTACTTACATCGAATATTGGTTCTTTCACCTGCCTTGCTATAGGAGAGAAAGTTAACTTCAGAATATCAATGAACTTCAAATCTGAAGGTGACAGAAATGAAAGAATATGAGAACATTTTAATAGGCCAGTAGGATGGTTAAAAAAGTTTATAGGGTGGGGTCACTTGTCCCGTTTAAAAGTGGGTGGAAACATGAGTTGAAAAACTGGAAGTCCTGGTGGTGGGAGAGGAAGTGAAAGAATGCCCACACTGTTGGAGAGAGGAGTCTTAAGGAATTGGAATGTTGCTGGTGTATGCTCTGACCAGGGCTCACACACAGTTGGGAACTTAGGGACTTGGTAGGAAGATTTTATGTAGGGGACAAGACAGCCTTGGAGTGAGTGTGAATGAGGAGGTGGTCTAATTTCAATGCAATTGAGGTCCCCATGTTTTGGGGTCTTCATGATTTCTTATGTTACCAGAGCAAGGATGGAGGTCTTTGAAAGTATCCTTTCTGGATTCAGGGGTCATGTGAGACCTGATGAAGTGACAATGTTTCCACTCTTTCGTGGGGAGGTTAAAATGTACTTTGGAAATTGGTTCTACTGTGTTAGGAAGCCTAGAAGGAATTCCTTAAAAACTTCCCATATCAAAAGGAAAAAGAGTTCTCGCATGAAAGTGTGTTGTGAAAGCCTGTACTTCTTACACCTTTAAGAACTTCTGCAGGATATATGTTTGATTTTCCTCATCCCTTATTTACCTAGGGAATATTAGAAAAAAAAAAAAAGAAGGGTAGGCCTGACATCTTTAGGATACCCGATACCTACACAAAACAGAGTGTTTTCTTATCCTACCTCTAGTGGCTTTGTCGGACCTGCTTTCAAAAGCCCAGGCCTGATTGACCTCTGGAGCTTCTGCTGTATGCACTTAGACTCCTCTCAGCCTGTCACTTGATCTGAAACTAGATCAAGGAAAAATTCCATGAGCTCAGCATTAAATAGAAATAAATATGAACACCTAAGCTCTTAAAAGAAATCCCAAATCAAAAGAGGACAGGAGCACGCGTGAACTTGGTCCCTGTAAAGAGGCTTCAGTGGGTGGACGGCGATTGCTGTGTTGTACATTCTTATTCTAGTTCGTTAGTAACTTCATTTCAACTGTGATTTCTTTGAAAAACTTGTTTGGTGCAATATTTTGTTGCCATTGAGCCTCAGGATATTCAGACCTACAGGACTGTGTTGGTCAGCCGTGTCTTTACCAGCCTCCTCCCTCCTGTACAGGGTCACACCCTCAATCTCTACAGTCTGATGGTCCCATGAGCTGAGAACATTTCTGATACCAGGTGGGAGGGAGATGTCACAGTTGAGACCTGGACTGCCAAATCCTAAGGGTTTACTCTAGAAACCCTGGTGCTTCCCAGGCAGAATGTTGTGCTGCGTCCATCAGGACGATGGATCGATCTTTCAGTCACCTTGTTCTCTTAGAGGTATCCTTCTAGAGTTAAGTTTTGTATTCAAAAGTCAGTGGGCCATTTGTTCAGGGACTTTTGTACCAATATTAGGTAAATGAGAACTTGTCCCCTCTGAGCATACCTCTCTCTTCTGTGGTCATTTTAGTGTCAAACACATGTATTTCATTGTAAGCCATTGTCTACAATGCCAAATGGTATTAATTGCCAGTAATTGTAGTGTGGGAACTACCACAGAACCTTATTTCTTGTTTTGGTCTTTTAAAGATTTGTTGTTGCTTTTTTTTTTTTTCTTTTTGTTGTGTGTCTGTAAACAGTTATGGTTGTTCAAATACTGTCTAAACTTTTTATCTTTGCCGTAGAAAAGATGATGAGCCGTCTTTTGGCTTCCAGACCGTAGTTTACATGCTATGTCAAGACATGGTCCATCTTGAAACCAAAACAAAGGGAAAGAAGGTGGCAGTGTGGGAAGAGAGGCACAGAACAGGTTGGCTCCCTGTAGAAAAGCCACTGCAGTCAGGTTGGTTAGAGAAATCATGAAGCCCCCCGTGAAAGTGAAGCAGAGCTAACAGTGGCATTGACAAGAAGAGCTCAAAGACATAACTTTATAGGGGTCTGTCTGACCCGAAGCTTATAGCCAGGATAACGTGAATGTAGAAAACTACATCAGAAACCCTGAGAATGAAGATAAGACTTTTAGCTGCTAACACTTGCCTGTTTAGTCCCCTTTTGCTCTCGTTTAGTTTGGGAAAAATGAAAAGTGCCCTTAGGATTTTTTTTCTGATGCACAAAGCTTGAGATTCAAAGTGTGCATCCTTTGGCACACACCGGTCTTTCCTTCCATGGGCAGAACTTTACTTTCTGTGTCTTTGTTTTGCACAATAAGAAACTCAGTAGGCAAAGGTTGTGTTTTTGGTAAATTCACTAGCTTTTTAAAATTTTTATTAAAGAATAATAATTTAACCAAGGGGAAAATAAAGATTGTATTTTGTACTCTTGTTTGAACCCCATGGGTTCCTTTTGTTAATAAAATGGTTATACTAATGATATGAGTGACTAGTTTTTTTCCTGTGTTTACTTCAAAGACTGAGTTTAATCATTGTTAACTTAAGGTAAATCAGTAGCCACACACATAATCATGTTATTAAGGTCATTTGTTTATGCATGAGATCAAGAGTAAGGCCCAGCTTGGGGCCTTCTGGGCTAGTGCACGGGGCAGATTTACAAAGGCACACAAATACTAGCAATCCAAGAAGAAAAGTCACTGACTACATGAGTTGAATGTAAACTACATGAGTCAAGGAGAGAAAATATCTTCTCTTTTCCGAATGACAGCAGCTTTAATTCTCAGGTTAGTGTATGCTTGGCCTGCGTCTCAGGAGTGAGTTTACAAACTTCTGGGCTTTCGTGAACAGTATTGACCTAGCAGATGCCTCCTTTTTATGTGAATACATAGGGCGATATTAAAAGGAAGATGTGATGCTAATGCATCTCAAGAAATCTGCCCAGACCTAGGTCTGATTAAAATTAATGTTTGCTAAACTGTGGCGGATAGCCTGGTTTATTTGTATCCACTTGTTTTTAATCTCTGATATGGCCTTACGCCAGCATCTGTGAATCCACATATGTCATGCACAAAACAATTGAAATACTTGTCTTATCATATATAACGTGGATAACTTTACAAGATTACCACTAAGGTTTCTGTAGTTTGTACTGGAAAACAGTGGCTTGTAAAGTTTCCAACAAGACCAGACACTGCTGAGAAATTGGGACACAGCTCTCCAGTTACCAATGAGTTCACCAAAACCAGAAGGGGGAACGCTAGAGCTTGGCCCACATTCTCCAGGAGATCTCTACTTGCTCCGAAATCTCCTGAGTCTACACTTTTAAGGAAGCAAAGAAAACAGCCATTGCTCCATTTGCACAGCTTGGGGGTTATAGACCTGGATGCTAGGCTTGTGGTAAATCAAGTCTTTGGTGTTTATATGCAAAAGGCCCGCCTCCAGAAAGGACCGCAATCTGCCTAAATCGCTTCCTAAGTATGTTTAATTAGAAGTTGGGATTCCTTATTCAATACAAGATCTAAAGCCTCCGCATTTCGAAATAATTATAGCCTCATTGCAAAAGCAGTAGACCAAAGTCCTCTAAGCCCATCACCCAGCCTCCCCCAGTGCTGCCATCTTACACAACAAGGACAGTAGCCAAGCCACAACACTGACACAGAACAGAAGGCTTTTGCATACACTCATTTTTTCAGCTTACACTTTTGTGTACAGCTCTATGACATGTTACCACATGTGTAGGTTCCTGTAATCACTGCCACAATCGAGATTGAAAACTGCTCCATCATCATGAAGAAACTCCTCGGGGCTGACTCCAATCACACCTCCCTTTTTTTCCTCTAGCCCCACCCCCACTGCTCTGTTCACTATCTCGTGTTTTGCCATTTTTAGAATGCTAGATATAAAAGTTCATTCAGTCCATACCTTCCTGAGATTTTGTTTTTCATTCCACGTAGCTACTTGAGAGGCACACACTTTGCTGCCTGCAATAACAGATTGTACCTTCATATTTGAGCTGAGATATTTACAAGCAGAGATTAACGACTACTTAACACTTTGTAAATTGCAAATAAAATGTGTAGCAATTTCGTACACAAATTTTATACACATGATACTGTCATGCATAGTTCAGGGCTTGAGAACTATTTTTTATCTGGTAGAAAGTACAATTCAGATTTGCACAGACTTTTACGTGTACATCTTCAGCTTCTCAAATTGCTTCAAGAACTTTACCTATACGAGCTGCGGTACTATAGATGAATATGTACTATCTCAGAGATATGTCAGTGATTGAAGACCAGGAGAAACCACACTGAGCTTTTCTTTCTTAAATCAAGCCCCAAATCTGATAAATTTCAACCTAAGGTTGTACTTAGAGGCCACCTTTGCCTTGTGTGTTTGCGTATTAAACTCTGTGGATTTTCTTTCTGTCTGTCCCACTTCTTAGTATCTAATGAAAGAGCGCATATAACAATTTTTAACTACAAATATGCATTTTTCCTAATGTAAAGCAAGAGATTACTTGTTAAGAGTTAAGTTTTTCTGTCCAGGAGAACTTTTAGCCATTTATGCTCACCCAAAGAGTTGGCCCTTAAAATTGGAATTAGTCTTTCAGTTATGAAAAGAGTAAAATGCGTAAGTGCCTGCTGCTGCAGGCACCATCTGCTACTGAAAATAGGCAAAATACTGGTGACTCTCTTGTGCTTGGAATGGCTTTAGCCATTGATATAGGTGCATACAAACGCATGTACACACAGACATCTGGTAATGCATGTGTACATAGATCAATACACACCAACGCACGCAGACACCGTTTTTGCTGGTTCTTTCATCTGTACGCATTGCCTCCAGGCCTGCCTCTGTTTCAGGTATGATTATAAGCTTGGTTTCAAGAGGAAGAAATGCTACCACAAGAATTTCTTGGAAGGGAAGCCATTTCCCACCAACCTTTTCCTAATTCTGTCTAGGTATTTTTCAGAGGTATTGAGGAATTATTGAATAAGTGAACTGAAAGGAGCATATGTCAAAAGTTTGTCTTTTTCTTTGTACGAATTTACCACATGATATAATAATCATGTCTCTACACTTCCCTGAATCATACACTTATTTAGTGAATAAAAGATACAAAATGTTCCATATCAAAACAATGACAATTATAACTCATATGCCACATTTGTTCTTCAAAGATTAAGATTCCTGCTGCATAATAAGATTTCGTTTCGTATTTTGTTTTTCCTCTCCAGGTGTCACAATCCATCTCTTTGTTCATATGCTAACTGATCAATACATGAGCACTATGTGTTCTAGCTATCGCTATAAATACCCGGATTTGCCTCAAATAGTTTAACGATTTGGGTAAATGATATACACAGGTTTATCATCTCTGGATAACAAGCTTCAAAGCAGCATACAAAGGCACATGCCTGCATACACAAGTTCTGCATGTACACACACACATGCACAGAGATACTGCTTGTTGGATAGAGCTTTCACCCTTACCCAAGGATGAGAAAAGCCATCAGCAATGGCACTGTTAACAGGCCAGGGACTACAGAGACTATATACTATTAATATTATTCCCATGGCTAGAAGGACATGAAGCACAAGCTTGATTTTCAGTATCTGATGTACATTGCACAATAAACAGATAAGGGACAAAAACTTGTTCTATAAAGCAATTTTCACAGTTCCATCACACCTCAGTATACTACTTTAGTACAGGAACTGAAATACAAAACAGTAATGTTGACTCCTGAAAGTCTAGCACATCACTGAGATGGGTTTAGGGACCGATACCACTACATATAAGACTTCCATGTGGGGCTGAAGAGATGATCCCATGGTTAAGAGCTTACTGCCCTTGCAGAATACCTGAATCCAGTCCCCAGCACCCACATCAGGCAGCTCACAACTGCTTGTAATGAGTTCCAAGATGCCCCCTCTGACCTCATCAGACACCTACACACACATAATACACAAACTCATGCAGATACATGTAAGTTAAAATAATCTTTAAAAGCAAAGACAGGCAGGCAGACAGAAAGATCAAAAGAAAGAAGGAAGGAAGGAAGGGAGGGAGGAAGGAAGGAAAGAAGGAAGAAACAAACAAACAAAAAGAAAACAGGGAAAATTTTGTTAAAATCCTTGAAAGTTCCAAGGAGACCACAGTTACAGAAAAACCCATAAGGAAGTTAAAATTTATTCTATTTTTTTATTTTATCTGAACCAAACCAAGTCGACAAAGTGTGTGTGTGTGTGTGTGTGTGTGTGTGTGTGTGTGTGTGTGTATACATATAAGAAGTATGTGATTTAAGCTAAAATCTTTTTTTTTTAAATCTTCCTTCGGGAAGGATAAAGGCAAAAAATTCTGGTAACTCTTTTACCTTCTTACATAAGACCAGAATGCTGGGCACCAAGGAAACCTCAGCAGCAAATACTTACCTTCATCTTATCTGATATAACAAAACACCTTGGTCCTGATGTCACAAGATAACTTATCTCCACTGTAAACTGATGTAAACACCCGAAGCTGTTCCCCTAACAGTTGCAAGTTACATCAGATACATACCATGCTTTCCAGAGAACTGATCTCACTGAACCTGAAGCCTTATTTTAAAACAACCAGCTCATAAAATGTCAGTCCTGAAACAAAACAAAAATTATTGCCTCTGCTGGTATTCTTCTGATAGGAATAGTTTAAACAATGTCTGTATACAAAAGGGGGAATTCTGATGACCTCAGACTTGCTCTCTCTGTTGGTCACTTTGTGACCACATAAGTCACAAAGTGAGAAATGTTGAGGGAAGACAAAAAACCTACTTATTAAGCTCTTGGCAGCCTCGGACATCCAGTGATGTGGGACCAATGAACCTTAGCCAGCAAGTGACATTATATCTGTAAACTTTGAGCTTTTGATTATACCAAAACAGCCTCCAGGACAGGTAGTACACATCTAGTTTCCCCAAGTATGCAACTGACCACAGACTGTTCTTGGCCATGGCCTCCCTGGAACTGTGACATACATGTACACTGAGCTTATCCTCAATGAAGCCCTTCCCCATGATGTATAACTGAGACCCATACCTCAATCCCAACACAAGGAACTCTGGAGAAAAGAAGGCACATGAATCAGAAACAGCCTACATCTGTCTGTGCCCAGGGTTCTGTAGATGAAGTGTGCTAGGAAGACATGGTCTTCGGGTTGTGTGTATGCATGCTGTTTATTGATGTTTGCTTTTAATTTGCTCCCTACTTTTGCACAGAAAGTTTATACCTCAAGCAATAGATAGTTAGGAATAGGATTTCCTCAAGATCCAGCTATACCACTCCTAGGCATATAGCAAAATATGCTCAAGTACACAACAAGGACATTTGCTCAACCATGTTTGTAGCAGCTTTATTCATATTAGCCAGAACCTGGAAACAACCCAGATGCCCCTCAACTGAGGAATGGACACAGAAATTGTGGTACATTTACACAATAG